CGGCCGCCTCGGACTCTTGCAGCTGGAGGAGCACATGGCGCGCGTGCGGGAGGAGCTGGACCGCGAGCGGGAGGAGCGCAACTACTTCCAGCTGGAGCGGGACAAGATCCACACCTTCTGGGAGATCACGCGGCGGCAGCTGGACGAGAAGAAGGCGGAGCTGCGCAACAAGGACCGGGAGATGGAGGAGGCCGAGGAGCGCCACCAGGTGGAGATCAAGGTGAGCCGCGCCGCGCCGCGCCGCCCCCCGGTGGGCCCCCGCTCTGGCTGAGCGGGTCGGGGGGCAGCCAGGAAGCCGGCCTGCCGCTGGCAACGGGCCAAGCTGCAGGCGGGCACGAGCGGGCTGGATGGCAGGAGAGGAGCTGAGATCGGGTCGCAGCCGGATGGAGGTGCTGCTTGTCGGAGCCGTCTGGGGTCTCGCCCGCCTCGCCGGCCGGCCGGCCAGCGTCTCGGCTCGTTACCTCAGGTGTACAAGCAGAAGGTGAAGCACCTGCTCTACGAGCATCAGAACAGCCTCACCGAACTGAAGGCGGAGGGCACCGTGGCCATGAAGCTGGCGCAGAAGGAGCACCGCTCTCAGGAAATGGACCTGCGCAAAGACATGCGCACCCTGAAGGTGGAGCTGAAGGAGCAGGAGCTGGCCAACGAAATGGTGGTGAAGAACCTTCGACTGGTAAGCGCGATGTGGGCTTGGCTGCTCTGCTTTGGGGAGGGGGCGCCCCACCCCCCCACCCGTGAGCAAACCAACCTTGTCTCTGCTTCGGCATTCGGCAGAGCAGCGTCTGCCTCTGCGGGACCCGTCCCTAAGCAGCATTGCTGTCTTAACAGAAGCAGCAAGAGGACCTGACACACCTACGCAATGACTTTGAGAGACAAGTGAAAGGTCAGTCCCGGGACTCGGTACGTAACCCGGAGTGCAGAAGCCCACCTCCACCACGCTCAGCGGCCTCTCTTCAGCACAGCTCAGCAGCCACAGTCTCATTTCTTAGACAAATCCAAGAGTATGTGAGCACTGCTTCACCGTGGGCAGTGTGAATGTTTGTAACTGTGGAGTCAGGCTGTTTTCCTGTGTGTCCTTCGTGCTGTTTTGTGACCAGAGTAGGAGGGGAGGGGAGCTGGGTAAGGAGGGCGTGTGTGTTCAGGTTCCATCACCCATATCGGTCTGTGAATGAGTTGCACGCTCCTGTGCTGCACGATAAGAGTTACAAAAATGATCTGCTGCTTTATGGGGTGTGAGATTTTCCTGTGCCTTTGGGTGGGTCTTCAGGCTAGAGCCTTGTTGGGGCCTAGTGAATACCTGCCCCATCTCCTCCAGAGCCACTGGCTGAGGATAGAGACTGGCATAGTTGCTGGCCTGGGGGAGCACTCAGCCTGCCCTGGGGGCTCCTCCTGCAGAGATTGAGGCCAAGTACGAGAAGAAGATGCGAGTGCTGCGTGACGAACTCGACTTGCGCAGGAAGACGGAAATCCACGAGATCGAAGAGAGGAAGAACGGTCAGATCAACACGCTGATGAAGAATCACGAGAAGGCCTTCAGTGACATTAAGAACTACTACAACGATGTCACGCTCAACAACTTGGCGCTGATCAACACTCTCAAGGTAAACCACAAAGCAGTCTTCTCTCCTGGCATCACCAGGTTGCTGAAGGCCTGAGCAGCCGGACCCAAATGTGGGCGTGGGTTGGCTTTTCCCCGTTTGGGTGGTCTGATGGGAATATTCACGCCTTCCAATGTGGGCCAGCCCCTGCTGTAATGGGGAGCTTCATATTCCTTTTTTGGCCTGGAACAGAAGCTTATCTGAAGGTTTTTTTTAGGAGCTTATTGTCTCTGATATTAATTGCAAGCATGAAAAATAGCGGTACTCTTTGGTTCAGGAAGTAAAATAAAAATCCACAGTGGGGTCATATTAGGACTAAGCAAACAGACAGAAGAACATGCAAGCGTTTGAGTTGTCCTGCCGTTGTGTCACGGCTTGGTCCTTACGTGTTTGCGTGTGGGTCTTTTATCTGAATGGAAAAGGAATGGTTGGAGAGAGGGGAAGTGGTGGCAGCTGGCCTTGCAGGTCTGAGACGCCCCCTGCCTCAAATTCTCTGGAATACAGGAGCAGATGGAGGAAATGAAGAAGAAAGAAGATCACCTGGAGAAGGAAATGGGTGAAGTGCTGCTGCAGAATAAAAGGTTGACGGAGCCGCTGCAACGATCCCGGGATGAAGTCTCTGAGCTGCAGAGGAAGCTGACTCACTATGAGAAGGACAAGGCCATGTTGGCAGTAAGTCACGCCTACGTTTGGGATGGGGACCAGGCATTCAGGCTAGCTTTAGGGTAACGATGTGTAGCGGAGTTGGTGTAATGCAGTTAATGCTAATGTGGCCCTCTTGAAAATGGCTTCAGAGTGTTGTAGGGAGAAAAAAGTGAAAGGTGGGTATTTTCTCCCTTTTCTGCCACTTTCTGCAGACTCCCTGAAGCTCCCTGAGCTCATGGGCTACCAGTAGATTATAGACCTGCTTGAGGACTTCATAGTTCAGGGTCTTTTGTGGCATGTAGCAGATTCAGCAGAGCGTTGATATTCACAGAAAGAAGATTGAGGGGTGTACGAAAATCTTGGAGCCCTCCCTTCCCATTCTAACATTCCTCTTTTGCACTCTCTCTGAGAAGTGCCACACGTGCATTCTTCGCTCCTGCTATTCCACAAACGTCTTGTGGCTGTTCTGAGCCCCCTTTCCCCTCCAGAGCATTCGGGCCCGACTGAAAGTCACTGAGAAAGAACTGAAGGATCTTCAGTGGGAGCACGAAGTGCTGCAGCAAAGATTCATCAAGGTGAGGGTCGAGGGCCAACCATTACTCAGTGGTTGATCCTGGTATGGGTGGAAGAGGGTCCTGGACGTTGAAGGGGGAGAATGAAAAGCCAGGCCTGCTTCTGCAAATAGCCAAAGGAACTCCACCCCACTGGGAGAGAGCCCAGTGTGCCTGTGCTCTGGGGTTTTAGGCAGATGTTGAGGGCTGAACCTAGACATCTTGCATGCAGAAGGGCTCTGCTCCCGAGCAGCTGTTTCTTTCCTGACATTTTTCTACCTCCCTGGAGGTCTGGGTGCTGGGCACCCTTAATCCTGGGCACACAGTCTGATGCTGGGATGCGCTTAATGCTCTCTGCTGCCGACTCGTGAGGGAGGTTGCCTTGCGGACTGCCTCCATAGGTGCAGGACGAGCGCAATGACCTGTACCAGAAGTTCACCAAAGCCATTAACGAAGTACAGCAGAAAACTGGCTTCAGGAACCTGCTGCTGGAGCGGAAGCTGATAGGCCTCGCCGGCCTTCTGGAGAAGAAGGAAGTGCAGCTGAACGAGGTGTTGGCTGCCTCCAACCTCGATCCTGGCGCGCTCTCTGTGGTCACCCACAAGCTGGAGGTAGCGGACCCCCCCCAACCTCACCTGCCTGCCGTGTTAGCGCTTTGCTCTTCAGATTCTGTCTATCTTGGATGGTGAAAAATGGGACAATTCCTCCCTGTTGCAGCAGCGAGCAAGGCTCTTTGGGACTGGACCCTGCCTTGCTGCTGAGTGGTCCCCAGGGGCAAACAGGAGGGCAGAAGGGGCTTCCTAGAAGAAATGTACTTTGGTTTCCCCCTGAGCCATTCGCCTTTTCCAAGAAACGGCACGGGAGGGGGTCTGGCTGAGCCGAGGCTGCATCGTCACAAAGCGGCAGAGCCACCTGGGAGTCCCTGAGGCAGCGCCCGCGCTTTCCTTTGAAAACTCAACCACGTGGGGGTCTTCGGCTAGTGATGTGGTAGAGCAGAGGCTTTGCTGTACTCCTTTGCTCTCCCTCAGGGAGGAGAATATAATGGGGCAGATCTTTTGGGCTTTTCTGATACTTCCAGTGCTAGAAGTCAGATTCCTTCATATGCGCTGCTTCCCAGCCCGAAAGGCCGGCTGCTCTCGTGGAAGCCTAGCAAGAGCCATGTAAAGTTGATTGGGCATCTTCTTATGGCCCTGGCACAGAGGAATGTTTCCTGGACTGTAAGCAAGCCCTGGCTGACAGCAGAAGATGGCCTGGCGGGTAGTCCCCATTAGGATGCGAGGGCAGACCCTGTTCTGCCCCCTCCCTTCAAGGACGGATCACAGCCACCAAGAGCACCATGGCTCTTTCTTGTCGGGATCCCAAAGGTCTTCTCCCCCCTTATCCTCCTCTCCTGGCCAATCTCTGGGCTGGCTGGAGGGGTGGAAATCAGCGTCTCCAGCAACTTGGCCTGTCTGGGAATGGGGTGAGCAACTTACACATTCGAAGCCCAGTTGGCGCCAGTAACTAGAGATGCAACTCGGCAGATCCTTCCCCAGGACCCGCACCTCCTTCCACCAGCTGCTTTTGCTGTCAAGCTCTTCACATTCCTGCATTCAGCTGCTGCTCATGCAGGAGGCACCTCTGCAGAGACCTCCCAGCCATTGTCCTTTTCTGATGCTGGGACTAGATCCTGCACGAAAACCACCAGAAATGATCTTGTAGCCCAGAGTTGCATTCCATTTCTGGGGGGCAAGTCAGCCTTATTCTGACTTCCAAAGCACCAGAGAGCCTTGTTCTCCTTCAAAGGACAGAGTCAGGGGCATCTGCAGGGTTCCTCTTTCTCTTCTAGAACTTATTTGCCAGAAAGAAGTTGGGTGTTTGGTGCAATACTTAACCCCCTCGGTTACCTGCAGTTTCTTTAACATAAAAGTAATTGTGGTTTTCAGTCCTCGTGGCTGCAGAGGAAAGCTTGAAAGCAGCCTGGTGTTTCTAGTGAGATTTCAGAGGTAGGGAAGTCCGGGGGTAAGTGGGGAAGAGACAAACGGGGTCTTCAGCTGTTCCTGACAGGATGGTCAGGGACCCACCCCAGTTGGCAGTACCACAAGACACCCTGGGCACTGGAGAGCCGCTTTTGAGCCAGGTCCCTTGAATGGGGTTTTAACGGGCACGGTGCTCTTCCTTTGCAGGATGTGCTGGATTCCAAAAACAGTGCCATCAAAGATCTGCAGTACGAGTTGGCCAGGGTGTGCAAGGTAAGAGCCGTAAGTGGAAAGAGCCACGCTGGAGCGCTTGAGGTGAGAGCAAATGGAAGGTCTCTTTGGACCCTGAGGGGAAAAATAAATCCCATCGCTCCTGCATCAAAGGTGTGGGGCTTTCAGTGATCCTTTGTCGGGGAAGCCGTTTCTGCTTGTAGCATCCATGGAGCCCTGTGGTATTCAGAACCCATCCCCCCGGGAGGCCCCCTCTGGACCTGTTGGACTGCAGCCTTTCCAGCTGTTACACCAGGGGACAAAGAGAACAGTTGCCTGAGCTCCCCTTTCTGCTTCGCAGCCTTCTAAGCAAAGCAGCCCATCACCTGCAGTGGTCCTCTTGGCTGTGCGAGGGGGCAGGATCCCAAACGGGGAGGCCTCCTGAGCCATCCAGCAGCAGGGGAAATTCCCCCACTGTCCCCCGCCCACCCACCGCTTGGCCTCACAGCCCACCTCTCCCCTCACAGGCACACAATGATTTGTTGCGGACATATGAGGCAAAACTCACTGCCTTTGGGATTCCCTTGGACAATTTGGGCTTCAAACCTCTGGAGACCTCCATGCTTGGACACACGCTTGGCCAGGGCCCTGCAGGATTTGTCTCAACCCCCACGTAGCACAGCCTGTCGAAACCCGCTTCAGAAGATGATTTGCTTGAGCCCCGCAGCCAAGCCAAGCCAAGCCTCCTGCAGCTTTTTTGGGTCAGTGGAGGACGCAGCCTGCTACGAAGAGACTGGGCCAGCCTGCATTCCTTTTGTATTAAAGAGGTCTTAAGGGGGCTTTTTGTAAGTGTCAAACCCATGGCTTATGTACAGCAGTCTTTGATTCACCCTCACAGCAGGCCTGCAAAGTAGATCTTTTTATTGGTCTTGTGCTTCCTCGGAGAAAGCCGCTTGCAGCCAAGCCTGTACCCTGAGCTGGCACCACAGCTGGTCTTGGGTGCTGCCCCGTCTGGGCACCCAGGATCCCAAAGACTCTCCAGACAGCCCTCTTGGAGGGAAGCACCTGGCTCTTCCACTAGTTCCCTCGGTAGGTGACGTAGGAATAGGGGCTGAGCAGCAAGGGGATGTGCAGCTTTCGTTCCGCCGCTGGGATTGTGAAGACGACCTGCAACAAACAAGCCAAAGATTTTGGGAAGGGTGAAGGGTTGGTGGGCCTCTTGGCCTGGGGAGGGGGATCTTCTCGAATGCAGTGGGAGAAAACACCTGCAGAAGGCCAAAGGCCCACAGCTCCACTGTCTGTGGCCCTTCCATTTTTTGACGGTTGGGGGCCCAAGTACAGCAGGACCTGTTTACCCCCCTGCATGTTCCTCTGCCTACAGAAGGACTCCAGATTCCCTCTCCTCAACAGGGCGCTGAACTGTACTGGTGTGTCTGCGTGCCAGTTCGTGCAGGGGTTCCCTCAGAAAGGTGGGTTGGGCCTTGCGGCAACAGCAGCCGATCCGAGCAGGCTCCTCATGTAGAAACAGGCTTGAAGGAGCCCCGCGTCCCTGCTGTTGCCAGCAGGTGGAAGGGAGAGAAGAGCAGCACGTGCTTCTCCTCCTCCGTCCCTCTCCACGTCAAGGTTTCCTTCCATGGGGAGGAGGTTCTCTTCGCCAGGGCTGGTGACGGCATAGCTGGAGGGCCTGCTGGGACGGGGGTCAATCTACCGCCCCCCGACCTTGCTCTTTCTGCCTCTTCCCAGCGCTGGAGAGTGTGGGCAGGGGGATATTTCTGAGGTCAGATCCCTCTCAGGATGGATCCCCTTTTCTGGCTCTGGGGGGGATGCCCCTTGAAAGGGCGAAAACGCCTCAGACCGAATGCCCATGGGAGCCTGCAAGCCACATCGAGGGAGCGCTTGCTCGCTCGCTCGCAGCTGAGGAGCCGACTTACTTCCACGTAAGGATAGAAGCTGGTGAGGCCCTGTTGCTGCCAGTACTCCCCTGTGGCAAAGTGCAGCTTGTAGGTGCCAGGCTTCAGCTGCATGGAGGCCAGCTCAGTCTTGTCCATGCGCCCGTCAGTGCTGGTCGTGCTGCAATCAAAAGAGAGCTGGGGGATGCTGCTGCGGTCCCGGCTGGCTAAACGGGGGGGGGGGGGGCTCCCCCTTCCTCCCCACCTGGTCATTAGCTCCATCCACGTCTGGCTGGGATCTCCGAGCTGAGAGAGGCAGACAGCCAGGCCGGTGGCAGGAAGGCCAGTGAGCACGTTCAGCGCGTGGACGCTCAGGGAAGTGTGGTGGTCCTCGCTGGAGCCGGCAACCTGGGTCCAAGCGGAGAGCCGGAGAGGAAAAGGGAA